TTTTTTTTTTTTTTTTTTTTTTTTTTTTTTTTTTTTTTTTTTTTTTTTTTTTTTTTTTTTTTTTTTTTTTTTGCTCTATGATTACCCCTTCTAATTTTTTCTTCATACCTTTGTAATTTCAAGTTTGTAAATCTTGTAAATAATTTTGTGCAGCAAAACAAAATGTAAAGCAAAAAAAAAANAAAAAAAAAAAAAAAAAAAAAAAAAAAAAAAAAAAAAAAAAAAAAACACTTCGCAAATAACTTTAAAACAAATTAGAATTTCGAAGGGAAAAAATCCGTGTTCAGGTCATAATCAAATATGGGCTTTTCAGCATACAAAGTTTCAACCATAGACCATGGTTGACTCTATGGTTTCAACTCTGAAGTTACATTCCAGCAGATTGTAGAGCAAACGTATGGTGTTTCTTCCGATAATTTTAACAATTAGTAATTCTCGAACTAATAATCGATTGTTCCTTTTTTTTATTCCATTGTACTCCCAATACATTTTCTACACGCTTGTGCAATTTCAAGTTTCTGAGCATTATAGTTTTGGAGCAATAATATCGAGCTAACTCGTTACCCGTTCAACAATGAACATAAAGAATATTTATTAAAAATTGCACTAATAGAAATTAGTTCCACCAAAAAGTTCTCCGCGAAGGCAACTTTCTCCTAATATTTGTTCCAGAAATTCCCTTGTCTTCTGGATTGAGTTCACAATTACGAGGCTACGGAGTTGAGCATTGGTAGTCGTAAACTGAAAATTGGGTCGACTGTCCAACGACAGTTATGAAATAAAATTATAACAAGGGATATATATCATTTCAATGTAAGGACCGATCTCTGTAATGAATGTTTCGTCAAAGTCCGCTGTGAAATGGAAGCTTTTCAAACGAATGAAATAAACAGGGGGCTCTATTACCAGGTTCATGAAACCAAATTTCGGTTGGAATGACGCTCTCTTGACGTCATAATTCCGTGAATGTCAGTTTGGCGTATTACGAACTCTTGATTTCATCAGGAATTAAATTCCAGTTCTAAATGATTACGAATTTTATTTCAGTAGGTTAAGGAGGGAACGAAATCTCTATTCCGTAGTAGAATGGCATAACTTGTAGTAGAAGAAGTTATTATTATTTTTTTTAAACTAATATATTACTTTTATTTTCCTAATATTCCAGTTTTCCAATATACCAGAATATTTTGTTTCCGACAGAATCAAAATCGATTAAACAAGTTGGGTGGTTGTTCAGTGTTACGGACGGAACTTCATCCACTTTGTGACCACATTGAGATCAAATAGAACACAAAGACTGTTTTCCTTTAGAGAAGGGTAAACAATGTGAAAAGGGAGTGAGGAGGGTATACTTTTTGTTTGAAAACTTTCCGTTTATTGCAAGTTTTAGACAGGCGTTTATACATAAATATGAGTATATTCCTTAAAATAATAAATATAAATTTTCTAAATAAATGTGTACATCAAATTAGTTTTCCTAAATAAAAAAAAACTAATTTTCTGCTTAGATATTTATGTATTGACAAAATTTATAAAATTTCTTGATCCAAAAAATTAAGCATTGTTTGAAAGAAAGAATTAGAGTTTGCAATTAAATTTGCATCAAAATTAAGGGGTCTCCCTGGCCGAGCGGTATCGCCGGTCCAAACGCTCTGTTAACCGTGGAGGTAGCGGGTTCGAATCCCGCCGTAACCCTGGATGTATTCTTTGTGATGTCTTTCTCTGAATTGTTCTATCTGTATTTTCTGCTTGACAATGACTTATAAGCCTATATTGAGCACACAAGTCAGCAAATGTATGTAATCTCAATAAATCAATCAAATCAAAATTAATAAAAAATGCATTTGAAAGTACTAAAACTAACTAAATGCATTTGAAAGTACTAAATAAAAGTGCTAGAATAATTCGTTTCTTTCTTTTACAAATTAAGTTTCAATTAATATTTTCTCCAAAGAATAAATATAAGATTTCTGAAATAATTAATGTGAGTAAATTTAATGTCAAGTCATTATGTGTTATTAATTATGCTTTTAATTGTAGCATAAATGGGAATGGATTTTATATCTTATTTTTAGATTTTTCTTCAGCTTATATTTAGATTTTTTCTGTTATCAAAGTAAACAGTTTATTATTGTATGTATGCAGGGACTGAGGATACACGGTATCGGTCCTCGTTAAACTGTTATACCGTAAAGTACTCTACTTTACACGCAAGTTGTCAGACTACCAAAGCAGTGGAGTCATACCCTCTGCAGTGGATAAAAATAGCAATGGCATGTCTTCCTATCTTCCTCAGAGATGTTTTCCAGACCGTCGCCAATAGCCCATTGTGCTGCTCTAGTGCGACGTGAATAAAATTCCTATCTACCTGTACCCTCTCCAAATTCACATTTGCGATTTTTTTGCATGTACCATAAATGCACCTTTTACCTTTCAAAGGCCATTCTCACTGTATTTAAGAAAATAAATCATAAATGCAAATTCGGAGATGCAAGCCAAGACCTGATTGATGAATTTTTAGCTGGATTCTACCAATCAAGTTCTCATTCGAAACTACGAATTCGAATATTCTCTATTCAGTGAGAACAGTTCCTTGCGCGTCTGAAATATCGCATACAGTGTGAATGTCCTCTTAGGGATATACTGATTCGTTGAAAGTGAGAGATCATTCGTCGTTTTACCCAATTAAATTGATCTGTCTGAATGGAAATGAAATCGAAGGTAAATCGTAAATCGTCTGCACCACACCAAACGCATTTAGTGGTATAAAGTAATAAACAAATGCGTAATTAAGGTATTTATTAAAAAACTATTAATTATCTATTTTGTTTTTTTTGCATTGCATCAAGCAATTACAATGTATATTGTCTAAATATGCTCTATGAAACATTGTTTCAAAATTCGTTCTAGTAAGTAATTTTTTAAGAAAATTGAAAATTAAAATACATTTGTTCAACCTTCACCTGAATAATTAATTCTATTACGATATTTACATTCATTTCATTGATGGATAGTTAATTTTTTGTGGAGAGATTTGAAAATTTAAAATTAATTTCTGTGAATTGATCCTTTATATGTTATTCTCCTCAGTAAATTTCATATTTTATGCTCATCGTAGATTCTCACTACACTTCCTTATCGTTTTATAAAATATTCTATTAAGAATACATGATTTAAAATGTAAGAGTTTAAATGCTTTGTAGAATGTATTTGGGAAAAAAGTAATCAGTGACTCTCAGTTAAATTGTAGAAATATTTTGAAAAAATAATTTATGTGTTACTTATTTTTAAGTTTTTTACACTGCATCCTTTGGTGTGCAAAAGACATTTAATAAGCGGTTTTTATATCTTGCTGATTAGGTAATAAAGTTCGTGTTATATACAATGTGAAAATTTAGCATATTATATAATTTAATTTACTCTTAAATACACTCTTACATTAATTAATGCAAAAAGTATAATTTTAATTGATCTATTTAATGTAGGTACTAATAAAAGTATAATTCTCAAACTTTCTGCATTAATAACTAATAGAGTTCACATTTATTATATAGTATTTTGGTATCACATGTGCAAAGAAAATGAAATTTGAGCTCATATCTACAAAACAATGGGATGTTTTTTTTTAATGTTATGGACTCTTATTAATCTGGAAAGTTTGAATAATAGCTTAATCTTTAAAAGTTCTGAATTTGTCTTTGTCTATATATAAATGCAAGTATTGTATAGAATATTGGTTGTCCTTAGAATGATATATGAGAATTAGTTATTTTATAGAATGCTCAGAAAATGTGTGAATTATGAATCAGTTTAAGTATGTTTGATTTTAAAAACTCATTATTTTATTATGGAGGGCTTTTTCTTCTCTTTTTTACTTTGTTCCTCTATGATGAATAAAAAATGATTATTTCTTTAGTTAGAAAACAATTATCTAAATGCTACAATTCTTGAAATTTGGTTTAAGGTACTAAGATACATGGATGATATGAGAATATTTGGTACACTAATCTACATTATGACATTTTTAAAAAATTTGAAATTAATATTTGGCATAATGTGGTTTTATTGTTTAATCTTTGAAAGTTGTATTTTCATAATAATTTTATCAATATTTTTATTTACAAAATTAATATTAATTCATTAAGTTAACTGTGGCTGTTACATTTATATTATTATTGTTAATTGAAATATATATATATATTATATTTGACCAAAATTATTCTAAATATGGTAATTAAGGAGTTGCTAAAAATATTAAATAAAATTTATAAGTTTATTTTAAACATGGAATTAAAATGACATTTGTTATTGGTAACCTTATTTAGCTATAAATTTATGATTAAAATGTTAAAGTGGTACTGCTGATTCTAAAATTGAAAAAAATGAAAGAAGAAAAAAAGGAACTTCATTTTGCCGGTGTAAGTGATAAAGTTGCTAATCTAAAGTTACCTGGTGTATGTAAATTTACATTTTTTTAGTGATATCTATTTTTTAAAAAACTAAATAAATGAAATAAATGAATTTAAATGTGCTGGCAAAATGGAAAAGTACCGAAAATATAAACCAAGAAAGTAATAATAATTGGACAAGAGACTTTTTTAATAATGAAAATAAGAAATTTGAAAATAATTAATCCTACCTGAGGCTTTCCATTGTTATCTTTGAGATCTATGCTTTTATTTATTTATTATCTATTGTACAGCAAGTGGTCACCTATAGAGCAAGGCTGGACACCCTGTTTAGATTTCCAAAATGGAATCAATGACCTAGTGCAAGACCAATTGCCATTAGTCATACACAGTGGCAGTGATATATAATAGAAAATCAATTGGCTAGTGTCCACTTAGAATTTGTTGTTTTTTTTAAGTTCGACAATAGATATACTTTAATTTTACAATTGCATGTTTATTTTATGTTTGAAAAATAAGTTTTTAGAAATCAGTTCATGGGTCATTTGAAAAGTTTTCGTAGGTCAGTCCCAGACCCACTTGTCATAAGTTCACTTCTGCTGATCAAGGGGGTTCAAAGCATATTCTTGAGTTTTGGCATTTTGACTTATAAACAGGATTGGCAAAAAACCAAAAAACCATTTTTTGGTTTTTTCCCAAAAATCAAAAAACAACCAGTTTTTTGGGAAAAAACCATGGTTTAAACCAATTGATTTAAACCATGCCAACCATGCTTAAAAACATTAAAAAAAATTGTTTTAAAAATTGAAGCTGCAGGATTAATGCTTGTAATGACTTTCTTAGAACTTAGAAAATGATAAGCACTTAATTTGAAATTATTGTCGTGGGAGTGAAAAAATTTTCACATAATTTTAGATGTTATATAAAGTTCTGTTATTCTATCTCATGTATCACAAATTGCAAATGAGACGTTTCGTTATGTGCAATGTTATAAATAAAGGATCACTGTAAAAGATTAAAATTTTCCCAACATTTTAATTTTTGGGAGGAAGGGGGGAAGGAAATAGATTATTCTTTACTTCTACTTTTGTGCTAGGCTCAATCATCTTAAAAATAATCTTGATGTTTTGTCATCACTTATATGGTAATCAAATCAGTTTCTTATTTAATAAAAAGAGGAAAAGTTGAACTTTAAAAAAAGGCCTCTTAAGCATTCATTTGTGTTTTCCAACAGCTTTCAAAATTGGATGCCTTGACTAATTTGTTTTGTTTTTAAACGTAAAAAATCTTGTCAAGAATTTTAATAATCTTATTCAAAATATCAACTTTTGTAAATTGCATAATTTTTATATAGATGTATTTTTGTTTTAGGGTATTGTTCAAAACTTTATTGTAGTAATGCCACGCCACATTGTACAAGTGAGGTTCAATATACCACAGGGTTTTCGAAATATTAATAACAATAATGCTGATGCACGCTATATTTTTGGAAGAAATCAGCTGTACCGTATCGCTTTTATGCGTTTCACATTGGTTTATGCAAGGCTGTTTCCAGAAACTCTAAGAAGGATAATCGAGTTTATTTTATTAATATCAGTATGTATTTTTAAATATCTATTCCTTTTCAAAGTTTATGCATGTATATATGAATAATGAATTTCAGCTGAATAATCTGTATTGGAAGTATTCAGTATAGTTTATCTATGAACTTAAAAATTTTTTTTTAAATGTTTTTATTCCTTTAAAATCAATTTTATTAAATTTATTTAATGAATTATATTTTGTTTGAAGCTATTATAAAAATGTAGACATTTAAATGCATTATCAAGGTGAAAGCAGATGTAACTTTTGCTTTATGAATGTTGTAATTGAATAGCAATAAACAAAAAAAAAATTTTTCTTCTGAACAAGTCACAATAGGAAAGCTCACCTAGCTGCGTACAATGACATTTCCGGGCATGAGTTCCTAAGCAATTTTAATTCTGATGATGTGCCGTAACTCCCCTAGAAAGTTTTTGCAATATTTCAGTGACCCCTTTTATATCTAACAACTTTAAACTTGACTTTTTTACAATAAAAAGATTAAAAATGTCATTTAAAAAAACTGTAGCTTGTAAAGAAAAACTGATTGCAGATTTGAAATCAGTGATACAAAAATATCTCAGATTTGTCAAACAATCTTTTCCTCAGTGTAATGTTTTAATTTTAGCTGTATGACTTGCTTGCATTTTCTATTGATATCTGATGTGATCTATTAAACAAACAGTTCATAATTTACTTCTAAAATTTATAGATANCCACGCCACATTGTACAAGTGAGGTTCAATATACCACAGGGTTTTCGAAATATTAATAACAATAATGCTGATGCACGCTATATTTTTGGAAGAAATCAGCTGTACCGTATCGCTTTTATGCGTTTCACATTGGTTTATGCAAGGCTGTTTCCAGAAACTCTAAGAAGGATAATCGAGTTTATTTTATTAATATCAGTATGTATTTTTAAATGTCTATTCCTTTTCAAAGTTTATGAATGTATTTATGAATAATAAATTTCAGCTGAATAATCTGTATTGGAAGTGTTCAGTATAATATATCTATGAACTTAAAATTTTTTAATGTTTTTATTCCTTTGAAATCAATTTCATTAAATTTATTTAATGAATTATATTTTATTTGAAGCTATTATAAAAATGTAGACATTTAAATGCATTATCAAGGAGAAAGCAGGCGTAACTTTTGCTTTACGAATCGTGTAATTGAATAGCAATAAACAAAAAAATGTTTTCAGGTCACAATAGGGAAGCTGACCTAGTTGTGTACAATAACATTTTCGGGCATGAGTTCCTAAGCAATTTTAATTCATGCCGTAACTCCTCTAGAAAGTTTTTGCAATATTTATGTGACCCCTTTTATATCTAACAACTTTAAATTTGAAATCAGTAATACAAAAATATCTAACATTTGTTAAAAAAGTTTTTTTTTCTCAGTGTAATGTTTTAATTTTAACTGTAAGACTTTCTTACATTTTCTATTGATATCTGATGTGATCTATTAAACAAACAGTTCATAATGTACTTCTAAAATTTATAGATAGATGCAATTTTAATTTCAGAAAAATTATTTTGTTTCCTGAGAAATTGTAAAATAAAAATTGTGTCTTTGTTTATTTTATCTTGTAAAAAAAATTAGGTTTAAAGTATCTAAAAAAAATCTTTTATTTATCGTGACATTTGTGTCTACCTGCCACAAGAATTTTTTTTATTTTTTATACAAAACTTGTTTCTTAGCTGATGCAATCTGGTATAAAAGTTAGATTTTTTTGAGGCAAAAGTTTATAAAATTTTTTAAGAGTGAGACCCTCACATTTGATATACTCTCACAAAAATAAGAGAAACTTTTGATGGGGATAAAAAAGGTGTTTGTGTCAAAATTACATTTGGATAAAGTGAATATTTTTTTTCTTGTTTCTTACTTTTTTTTCCTTAAAATTTTATTTTGAATTTGTACCCTTCTTGTCTACGCTATTCCTCATGGGCGAGCAGTCTCGTTTTATACCATCTTAATAATGCAAATACCATTTGACCTTTTTAATACGGCATATCTTTTGTTAAGATCTATCTAAGTTTTGAAATGATTTGCTCCCTTGAAAGTAATATTTTATATAAAATAATAAAAAATATTGTCTAATTAATTGTGGTTTATTGAAAAAATGGAGCAAATATCTCATTATTTTTTCTTTAAAAATGGTTTAAGATTTTATTTTATTTTCACAACAAAAGTTTAGTTCTGTCAAAAACGAAACAAGTACTAATTAGCTATTAATGCAAACGTCTGATTCTAAAATTTATTTTAAATTTAAAGATGCTACTCTATGTTTCAACTCATGCTATCTTATTTATACATTATTACGTTTAATGACAGATAAATTATAAACTCTATTCTTACATTTCTTTGTTTTTCTTGCAGGCATTATTTTCATTCCTATCTTTGATATACATTCATGTAGTATTTGTTCACTTACCTGTAACATGTTTGGATCGCTACCACAAAGAATGGGAAAGTGCAAAAATTCTAAGAGTCGAACTGCTCCGTAAGAATGGGGTCCATAATTATTCCCTTTATGATTCTTATTATAAAGAACATGCTATGAGGTTACTGGATGCTGGTGTAAAACCCTGCCCTAGAGTACAGTACCTACAAAATGATCTGAATAATGACAGCACAGAATCAAACTCAGATCATTCTTATAAAGAAGAGTCACTTGACGTTTCAGATCTTCTAAAGTGCAAGTTGAATGAAACAAATGATGAGAAAAGCTTTTTGGATAAAGTTGCTGAAGAAATACATGCAGCGTTTAATATGGAACGTAAGTTTGAAATTGAATTTAATTTTAAATTTACACTTGTTTAGTTTTAAACACAAGTTCATTCTAGTATCCATGTTTTCAATTAATGACTTCATTGCAGAATATACTTCAATAAGAATTTAAAAACTTAGAAAATAATTAATAATAATCTCAATATTTATGTTTAGATATACTTTAAAAGTACCATTTTAAATAATTGATTATTGATAAAAATTACATTAAAAATTAATAAATTGGTTTTGGGTGGTCATTTTCAATTGAAAAATTCAAAGAAAACCTAGAAAGCTTTTAATTTGAAATTTGAACCTAGAGCATCTCATAGAATAAGAATCTAGATTATCTTGCTTTTAATTGAAAGGAAGCCTGTGATATTTCCCATTTATTATGCACTGCCATCAAAAGATATTGTGGTTTAAACACTTTTTTTTAAATTAAATGATTTTTTCTTAAATGCATTTTGTTTTGAAAACTTAAAAATGTTTGATTTTTATTTTTGGAGTGATTTTTATGGGGATGATTGTAAAAAAAAAAGAAGGAAAAAAACAAAACAAGTTTTGGTAAAGTTTACTGTAAAGAATGGTTTAGTTGTTAATTTCATGGTGACTGATATTACATTTTGATGGGTTTTCTTTTTACTTTCTTCGTTGATTGATTGATTTAATATATATATATATTTATAAAAATATTTGGAATGTTTTTTAATAGCCTAATATTATTTGGCATGTAAGAAAATGGGATTAAAACTATAAATACTCTATGTAGATAGAATGCAACATAAACTGACATGAAGTAAAACATCATATATTTATTTTGAAATTTTCCCTCTTCTATACTAAATAATCTGATTATTTTTAAAAATTAATTGAAAAAAATTTAAATTACCAGGAAACATTGAAAGTAGTACACATGAATTGGCATAATGAAAGTGTAAAATAGAGAAAAACTCTTGCCTCTGATGTTATAATTTTTAGGTGACTGATGTTACGTATACAAACTATTTTGAAATTTTAATGAAGTTTTTTAAAAATTATTACTATTACAAAATAGTTTAAAATGACAAATTTTGATTTTATATCTAAAATAGCTGAAAAACAGTTAAGAAATGTTAATGAAGTAATTGTATTAAATGTTTATTTTTCTTTTGTTATGTTGTCCTTTGTATCATGGAATCGCCCTTGTGAGTAATAATAGAAGAGTCATTGTAATTAGGCGGTGTTAAAGACCATAGACTGTGATATATTATAATATATCAAGATTTTAAAAAATTTTACTACTAGTTTACAATAAATAATGTAGATGTATTTTACAGATTTTTATCTTATTTTTATAGTTTAAATTCAATATCTTTAATATGATGAAAATGAACATTTATAGCCATTGAAGAACTAAATATCATAGAATATTCTCTGGAATATGGATTTCTACGTCTATCACCTGCTATGAGAAAAAGCTTGAATCTTACTGTTTTATTTGTTGCATTAGGTGAGTATAGTTTTGTTTTTGTATTTAATTTGTATGATAGTTTCTTTTGAAATGTTAAATTTAGATTAAACCTATCCGAAACAGAAAAAATTTCTAAATTTGGATTTAAAAAATGTAATATTTTAATGCTGTCTGTCTACTCTTATATCTGTCTAAATATGAGACCTAAGCTTTTCATTAAAAACATGCGATTAAATATAATAGGCAGCTTTCTTTTTTTTTGGTAATATCAAGCAGTGTTTTTAATATTCAATACAATAATATAAGTCAGGGGTCTGTCCAGGCCGAATTTACTACCGTTTAGCGGTACCTTCACAAATTCAACTTTAGGAAAAACGGTAGTTTCACAAATTCAATTTTGGAAAAACGGTAGTTTCACAAAATACTTTTTCTTAAAGTTTCATTTTTGTATCCCTTAAGAAACGATAAATCCATATTTTTGTGTTGATTTCTTAATATAATTTTTAATTTTTCACAAATTACGTCTAAATTTTCACAAAATAGGTACCTGTCAGAAAAACCTAGACAGACCCCTGTAAGTACAATACTTCAATAATCACTTCATTAATTTACCATTTAACTTTGCTAATCTTTAACCAAGTTATCTTAGTAAATTACAAATAAAAAAAATTCAAATTATCAATACTTTCTAGGTTCATATTATTATCAATAGGTTTTACTAAATCATAAACTAATTTCAAATAGCATATATTAATTTTATTATAGTTTCATTGACTCTAAACCTAATTAATTGCTATTGAAAAATTGGTACTATTCTGTGTCAGGGGCTGTAAATCTTAAATCCTGATCCCAATCTTGAATTATTAATTTATTGAGAAGGCATGAAAATTTCAAAAGCTTCCAACATTGCAGAAAGTAATGCCAGTTTTCTAATTAGTTCCTTGTCACATAAATTAACTTACATATGATTTGAATCAATAATAATTTGGCGATTTTTACAGCCTTCAAAATGAGTAGTACTGTAATATTATGGTCATACCAAATATCTTTGTGCACACTTTCTGCATTCTATAGTTTATTGTACGCCATATAATTGATAAGGTGCATCTTTAAGATAATGCAAAAGTTGCTACTTTCTGTTGCCCTTCTTGAAAACACTGTCGCAATTATTGTACAGTTCATAGCAATGTTTAGATTATTATTATTATTTTTTTTAAAAAAAAGTCTACACATAATTTTCTTCTTAAAATGATTTTAATTTTTAAGAATAATGATGAATTAAGAAAAATTAAGAATTGATTTAATCATTTTGGTAATACTTTAATAAGATCATAGAATTATAAATTTGTTGAAAATATTTAAAATGTAGTGTAGAATAATAAGTAGTTTTCATTACATTAGACATATCAATAGATTACATTACAGTACATTAAGCATATCAATTTGATATGCCATAGAATTTGATAAAAAAAAGTAAAAATAAAAATCAGCAATATTCAATTTAAAATGAATGGTTGCGCATGAATGGTAATTTTAATAAAAGGATAGTATTTATATCTTATTTTTTACTTATTTTTTGTGTATTGGATTGCAATATTAATTGTTAAACCTTAAAAGTAACAAGAATATGTGTCCGTTGCCCTCATATTTTTGTTCAGTTATAAAGGTAATACTTTACATTGTTAATAATGTTAGAATAAAGGTTTAAAAAAAACTTAGTAATACCTTTCATAATCCATTTTAAATATATATTTTTTTGTGAAGAACGGTGGTATTTTAACTATAAAAAATATATATACTTTATGATGAATATAATGTAACACCAGATGTGTCCGTTGCCTTCATATTTTTGTTCAATTATAAAGGTATTACTTTACATTGTTAATAATGTTAGAATAACGATTTGAAAAAGTCTTAGAAATGCCTTTCATAATCCACTTTAAATATATATTTTTTGTGTGAAAAAAGATGGAATAGGGGAAAGATGGAAATATATATATATACATTATGATGAATGTAATGTAACACCAGAAATAGTTGTTAAAAATTTCAAACATATTTCTGAAATATTATCCTAAAATTTGAAAATTTCAGATCCAAATGAAGATACATGTTTTGGTGGAGTATTTCACAAGTTTATTTTAGACCAGTTTCTTGGTTATGATGAACTTTTAATATCTAGTGTGAGGCATCTCGCAGAAAAAAGTAATTATAAAGGTAATGTGTGAAATATTTTCTTTTTTTTTTTTAGAACATTTTCTAATCCTTATAATGATCTATTTAAAATTTTCCAATATTTCTATTATGCATTTTTTTAAAAAATATGTATGTTGTTGATTGAAATACATTTTTAAATTACAGAATTTTGTGATCATAAACAATGTTGCCAATCACTATAATTTGAATGTGGTCTTAACCATTTTAACTAACTCTAATTTTTTTTAAAAGAGGATTTGATTTTGTATCAAATTTTTAAACTGTAAATCTTTAAAATTTTATTTTTCAGAAACTGTTCAACCAATTTTGTTCAAGTTTTGTGTTTTGTCATTTAAACTTACATTTCAAAAAAATGTGAAAATTTGTATAATTTACAATTAAAAGTTTTTAAAAACTATTATTGGATGAAATAATGAATTATTATGAAAAATTAGTTGTTTTATGGAATTAATTTTGAATAAGCGAATTTTTTGATTTGTTTAAAAAGTACTCGAGATATGACAAAATAACTTTAAAAGGTCCAATCTTTCTACTGCTTTCCTGACAAAACTATTAGAACCATTCTTTCAACATAGTGGCTATTCCCCAAATATTGTTAAAAATTAAAATCTGTTAAAAAAAGGGCATGTTTATTCAGCGAGAGTAGGTTTTTGTATCTGTTTTCATAACTTAAAATATCATCTGCTGAAATTAATTAGCATATTTAAGGTTAGGCCCTTAAAACATTAAGAATGAGTTCCAGTAAGTGAAAATTCAATCTTTAGATCAAAAGTTCTTCTAGTCACATTCTTTTGTGCACTGTACATTATTGTTAGAGAAGCGTTTCTCTCAAATTTTTAGATGTAACTTCTGTTTGAAAAGTTTTTAGATGCAACTTCTGTTTGGATAATTTCATATTTTGACTTGTTTATACAATTAATATGAATTGTGTTCTTTTTCAACCTGTGCTTATTTGTACCCTAATGAATTGTGCTCTAAGTATGAGGTATAAGAACTGCCAAAGACTTGTGTTAAGCAAAAAATGGAAAAAAAGGACTTTTGGATTGCTATATGTGAACTTATTGACCCATTTAATTTTTTTTGTTTGTTCTACCAACCCTTAATTGCATTCAAAGCATACTTTAGTACAAATCAAACCATTGTATTAGAGCACTAAAAAGACATTGATAAGGCAGGCTGCCATTTGGGTACTATAAACAAGTATTGTTATCAGCATTATGTGGGAATGATTAAAAATTGAGTTGTAGTTCATGATTTGAGTGAGTCATCTAGAAAAAAATTAGTCTATTTACTAGAAATTTTTTTATGTTACCCAGATATATTAAACAGGGTGGCCACTCACCTGGAAAACCTTGAAAACCTAGAATTATCAGGGAATTTTTTTATACCGGAAAAAATCTAGGATTTTTTAAAGAGAAGCTGGAATTTTTTCTTTGATTTTTCTTAATTTTACTAATTTAAATTATTTACTAATTTTCTTAATTAGAATTATTTTACCAACTGTTATACCCACTTTTAGACAAAAATTTATTGCCAAACAGCTGAAATACCATCAACTTAGCAATACTTCGCTTACATCAAAATTTGGTTCATTATAACTCTGTTAAACTCCCTTGGTTTCTTAAAGAGTAGAGAACCTTTCCAGGTCACCTCATTCCCAGCAGGTGACTTGGCTAACACTCTATCCCATAAGTCAAAGATGATAAAATAACATTAAAAAAATAATATTTTAAATAAAATACTTTATAATATTGACACTTTTCTTGTATCCATCCTAAACTTTATGAGGGGAAAAAAGCACATTGACCTGGAAATTTTAGGATTTTTACCTGGAAATATCAGGGAAATTCAAAACCTGATTTGAGTGGCCACCCTGTTAAAATTGATAAAAATTTGAAGGTAGTTTAGGGTTGGGTAGCATTATTTTGCACATTGATTTCACTCGCATATCTAGTGATTTATCATATTTTAAAAATATTCATTGTGCTGTGTTTTTGTTGTTATAAGTATATCAATCTTTAATATGCATTAATACTTGCAAAAATAACTTAATTAAGAAATTATTTAAGAACATCTTTCCTCAATACTTTATCCATTCAGTAACTGAAGTTATAAAATAATATTAGTAAATAAGATTTCAATAAATTAAAATAAAGCTTTTTTTGTATCATATTCTTTTAAGAGAAACAAATTTCAAAATCTTAAGTATTTGTATTGGAATTTTTATTCAGGTTATGTGCGAAATGTAGGAAAGGAAGTAGAATATATATTTGTAAATGATAATGGCTGGCTCCATTCCTATCTTGTTGCTGCTATTATTATGCCAGTAACAGTAAGTAAATTTCTTTCTTTTAAGTAAACATAAAAGTAAAGTCCAGAATACAAAAAATGATTTTACCTTATAGTTAAAGGTTAAAAAGTTTTTAAGCTATCTTGAATGAAATTCAGAATTTTAACTTAATATTTTATGCTGTCTAAATTTGAGATGGCAGAATTGAATCTTTTGCATCTTCTGCAACTAATCTAAATTTTGGGGATGGCAGAAGATATTAAGATATAATTCTGAAATTTTGTGCATATATTCTTGTTGAGCAATTGGAACTTATAAGCCCTACCACAAACCAATCAACTGAACCTGTGATTCCTCCCTTTTTTTCTTTTAAGCTTTTCTAGTTGAATTTTCACATGTTTTTGTCCAATGAGGTAACAGAAAAGATCAATTTAGAATTAGAGTTATAAGATTTTGCATGCATCTTAATGGTGGTAGATGAAAAGAAATTTTTTCTCATTATTACTAAAAGAATAAAAACATATCGACTTTTTCAACAAAGAAATTTTTTTTTTTATGAAAGCTGTAGCAAAATGCTAAAATGCAATTTTTTATTAAATGTTGACATTGCTACTTTTTTTTTTAATGATTGTAAGTGAAGTAAAAGTATATATTGATGTGATTTAACATCATAAGGTATTTTTTAGCTAGATTGTCTACGATCAATATAAAAATTATTAAAAATATGTTAATGATGATGTGACAAACATTCAAAAATTTAATAATATTATGACAAAAAATTGAATAGATTAATATCTATTATCATTTTAAATATTAATCATATATGTTTGTTTTAAATTATTGTTAGGCTTTGTTTGAACTATTGATATTTTTCCTCCCTCTTATATTTTGAAATATGATAAAAACACAAATTAATAACTGAAATAACTTCTAAAAAATTTTATTTTTATTTTTTCTGGTTTAATTTGATAGTCTTTTAGAATTGTATGATAAATATTACACTGTTGTACAGTACAAAGTCCCCTATCCGGACGTCTGTTTACCAGAAGTTCTCTTTTCCGGACACTTTTTAACTATCAAAGTAAACAGAACTTTTTTCCTTTTTCAAAGAAAGTCTTTTTCTTTTCACGTTTACATTTTGTTAAAAAAAGTATGCAGAGATGATAATTCTCCACTTTTCCACTTTATGATCTTTAGCCACTTTGTGATTCTTGTTCGATTTCAATCCAATTTCCGCTAAAATATGAAGAAAAAAATGGTTATCACGGAAACAAAATCCGGCATTTTACTATAGTGTGAAAAAATTGCGTAGTTCTCATGTTTTGCATAAAGGGATTATTACTACCAAGAATCTCGCTCTAAATTTCAGAATACACACGAATTTCAAATTTTAAAAAATTGCAAATTTAAGATGAATTCAACACGACTAAAACTTCTTTAAAAATGATTATTCTAAAGCTCGATTTGAAATTCGCAGATCGTAATAATATTACATCAAAAATGAGATCAAGAATTTAAAAACTATGTGGAAATCCAAAATTGTTGAAAATGTGATTGAAAAAACAATGTCGACAATGAAATCGCCGCAAATCGCGTGCATCAAAAAGTAAATTTTCAGGTGCACAATTCAAATTTTCCTGTATAAAAAACTATGTTAAAAAACTATGAAAAATCCTTGGTAATAATTGGCAAAAAAGCAATCGTGAATCCACATGGGATTACGGGTGAATCCTCAGTAAATGAATGTGAAATGAGTGGTTTGAAGATTGCAGAGCCAAATAATCTTGTATTAAAACATTGAAATTTTAAAAACCAAGTAAAAATTCGTTTTAATAACTACTGAATAAACAATCAACAAAACCAGACGAATACTTTGTGTAATCGTCGATAATCAAGTGCATTGAGCAATGATTACTGACTGAATGCCTGATTCGGAATTTGCGGTATGTTATAATGGCATATTAAAATATCAAGATTTTAAAATTCATGTGGAAGCATGTAACAAAAGCTGTGAAAATGCGCAACCACCCAAATCACCTGGATTTATACATAGTTGGTTGAAATTGACGTTAATTATCGTCTATTTGTTATTGTTATTGAATAAAGATGTTTGTTTACTTTAAAGACCTATTATCCTTAAAAATCTATTTTCCGAAATTGCTGAAGTTCCGACAATTCTGGATATGAGGCTTTTCACTGTATATATATATTTTTTACTTAGTAAATTAATAAATTTGAAAAATTATGTAATATATGTACCATGATGTGAATTAACTATTTCTTGCCATTAATTTAATTAGGTTACTTCAATACAAATAGTTTATTTACACAATTAGTGCAAGAATTTAAATATTTCATTTCTAATAATTTTACATTTTCCAAAATTATCAAGTCTTGCTATTTGTTGATTTATTTTATTTTTAACAATGTTAAATATTCACCATCCTTCTCTAGACATTTTCTGTCTCCTTGCTTTTGCGATTTGCTCACCAACAAATGTTTGTGGCTTGCAGTAAGTATATATTATCTTTTTTCACTATGCACTCATTTATTGTAGAGCATTTAAATTTGTTTAAATCTCTTATTTGTTATTTACCTGTTTTTTAATTCTAATAATAAGAAATCATGAAAAAGTATTTAAACCTTTAGACTTTTCATTTGAGTTTTGTGAAGAAGTAATGAATTATTTTTATTTGTGAACTATTAGACCCCACCAAAATTTTCTTTGGTGCATATAGTAAATCTAGTACTAGAGTTTATGATGCATCCATTTAGTTAAACTGTATAAAGCATATATATTCAAACTGTGCTCTATAGACTTTAAAAACTCTTATTCCTATTTTCGTAATTTGACATTAATTTTGAAATTTTCTCCTAAGGAATGTTATATAGTCATCTATTTTTGTCATCACTCGTAATGAATACATTTTTTAATAATTTAATATAAAAGTAAAATCTTGTATTTTTATTATTCAAGCTCATTAAAATAGGGACTTAATATGTAACAGAAAAGCAATTTTTTAATGTTATTTTCTATTGTTTGGTAACAAAGTTTTGTTTTTTCCTTCTGCATTCTTTGTCTTTTTTAAGGTCATTAGAATGAAATCTAATTTTTTATTATTCATAAGAAGGTATATTTTCAAACTAGTTTTGATTTTACCTATCAAATGTTATGTTAATAAAGTTTACAATGGTTCATTGATGAAGTGTATCACCTGGTATGAGAGAAAGCATGAATAATAAAGCACATATTGATATATTGTACATTGATTCATTTTTCAGCAAACATGTTTGATTTTATAAGATTCCAAGGCCAGCGCCGATACAATGGTAGCCCATTATTTACAGTAATCCTTGCTTTGTTTGGTAAATATTTCTTTTTAATATTGTTTCAATTTATAGGTTTCTAAGTTTAAAGTTCATCTAATTTGTCTAAAACTACTTACTGTTATTGACTTTATTAAATTTAAAATTGTTGATTTGACAGAGATATGTGAGAACAGTTACAAAATATTTAAATTTGTTTTTTAATATTGAAATTTTTTTTCCCTTCATATAACTGCAATCTCTGTGGTAGAATTTTTTCAAGCATCCTGCGAAAAACTTCACTAGCACTAATATCTTTCTGCAAGATACTTTTAATGATAACAAATATACATGTTCTAATTAAAAAAAGTTTTATGTTTACAAAAGAAAAGTTTTATAGGTTTGAATAAGTTAATAAAAGTTTTATGTTTACAAAAAAGAAATATATATATATACAATTTTTTTCCTTCCAAATAGGATTTTTTAATTGAATATGTAATATTTTTTTATTCTAGTATTTGGGGTGATATTCACATATTTTGTGTGGGGAAAACATGCTAATTATTTCCTTTTTCGCATTTTGTAAATTATAATCNTTTTATGTTTACAAAAGAAAAGTTTTATAGGTTTGAATAAGTTAATAAAAGTTTTATGTTTACAAAAAAGAAATATATATATATACAATTTTTTTCCTTCCAAATAGGATTTTTTAATTGAATATGTAATATTTTTTTATTCTAGTATTTGGGGTGATATTCACATATTTTGTGTGGGGAAAACACGCTAATTATTTCCTTTTTCGCATTTTGTAAATTATAGTCATATTTAAAAAAAAAAAGAAATTCAAACCCTTGAAATCCGTAACAGTAACTANAAAAAAAAAAAAAAAAAAAAAAAAAAAAAAAAAAAGAGCAACAGTAAAATCTCACGAATCGGATTTTTTAAAAAGTGGATACTAAATGTGTATTTCGTTTCCAAATTTGGTTGTAATAAATAATATTGTATTTAAAATATCAGATTTTAAAAAACAATGCAGAAAACAATAGCAATAACTACAAGAAAAAAATCGATAGAATCATTGCGTTAAAAATAAAATATTCAATTGCACCATTCGAATTTCCCATATCATCAGAAATATATTGGCATATCTGAAAACCATGTGGATTTCAATATCAATAACTGCCGAAAATACAATCAAAACATTACGTGGACTACATCGAAACATACTGCAGCAGAAATTTAGTGTGCCGAAAAGTGCTTATTTAAATACGTGATTCAAATTTTACATGTAGAAATAATATCAACTGAGAAATAACAAGAATTTTAAAAACCCTGTGGAATTTGGTTCTACTAGTGATGAAAAGACAAAAAAAAAAAAAGAAAATTTATTGTCGTTAAACTGTTCTACTGTAAAGTGCTCTACTCCGCATGCAGGTCATCGGGCTACCAAAGCAGGGAAGCCATCCCCTTTGCAGAGGATCAAAATTGTGATGGCATGTTTTCAGATAATCCTTAGGGATGTTTCTCAGACCATAGAAAATCGCCCATTGTGCAGCTCTAGTGCGACGTAAATAAAGTACCTATTTACTTTTTCTTTCTTTAACTATCAAAACATCAATATAAATTACTTTGACGGCATGCTTTTTGTTTAGTTAGTGAATAATAGTGCTTCAAAAGCTAAGTTAACACAGTTTTTTGTTTAAATTATAATTTAAAAAATATTAAGAAATACTTCTAGTTGTAACTCCACCTTATTTCAATTACTTAGTTTGGCACTGATTTCAAAAAGTGTTTTTTTTAAATTTAGTGCTTAGCAAATAATCCAGTGCTATGAGTATTCAATTTTACAAGTATGATAGTTATTATCTTTAATTTCATAGGTATGATGGCTATAATTACAAGTTTCTTTCACAACTCAACACTCACTTTGAACATCACATTCATAGTTTGGTTGGCAGATTTTTATGATTCTATTTGTTGCCGAGCTCTTATACCTAAGAGACACTGGTACCGGTAAGGCATACTATGTTTATTGTGGGTATTTTTTTATTAGGAATTTTCTGAAGTGTCTGTGCTTTAGTTTTCAATATACATCAGTATTTTTTTTTTTAAATATAATTTACTGCAGTATAATTAAATGTTAGAATCTAACTGATATGTTATAAATGTATTCTTAAATAGTTATTTTAATTTTTTTTCTATGAAGTTTCTACGTAAGAAGGTGTTTTATTATTTTTGTTAAATTGCTATAATTATTTTGAAGATTATATAGTAAGTTAATTTATATAACTATGTAATGCATGAAATTATGTAAGCCAGCAGGGGACACAGACACAGCTGGAAGGGTTTACTCAAGCCAACCACCAAAGACTCTACTAGGATTACATTGCTTAGTTGCTGGATTCAACACATAAATAATAATAATAATATTTATGTGTTAAATAGTACTGTTAATAATAATAATTATGTGTTAGATAGACTGTAATATATAAATACAGTCAATTCGCTGTAATTCGAAGTACGATAACTCGAATATTACTATAACTCGATTTTTTTATGAGGTCCTGACCCTTTTATCTTCAATTTCATGTTAATTATCCTCGATTACTTGAATTTTACTCCCTTTAACTCGATTTTTTTTGGATCTTTTAAAGCAAGAAAAAAAACCTATGAGCTGATATCTAGCCCCTTCCTTTGCAACACACACACAATGTCTTTCACACTCTTCATGGAGAAGATAAAGCTGTCCCTCTTGAAGTATGTGAACAGTGGCTAAATGAAACGTTACCAAATTTACTTCAAGGATACAGTTAAAATGATGTTTTCAATATTGATGAAATGGGTTTATTTTTTAAATGTCTTCCAAATAAGACTATGATGTTTAAGGATGAAAACTGCTCAAGGGGTAAAATGAGCAAGGAACGTTTGACTGTCCTAGTTGGGGAAATGCGTCTGGGACAGAGAAATTGCCCTTACTTGTTATCGGAAAAAACCGAAATCCTGGATGTTTTAAGAATGTAAAAACGAATCCTTTGGATTACAAGTCTAACAAAAAGCTTTGAATGACATCAGTTTTATTTGAAGATTATGTAAGAAAATTAGATCGGAAATTCTTTGCTAAAAAAAGAAAAGTGATACTCTTTATGGATAAATGCACAGCACATAGTGATCTACCTAATTTGAAAGCAGTAAACTTGCAGTTTCTCCCGACAAACACCACAGCAAAGTTGCAGCCGATGGACCAGGGTATCATAAAGTGCTTCAAACAGTCTTATTGTAGATGGCTTGTCAGAAAAATGATTAATAAGCATTAATTAAATAATCCGACAATATTTTGAAAGTCCAAAACCGAAACTAACAGTAAGTCGAACTTCCGATATGTCGAAGTTTTTCGTCAGTCCTATCAGATTCGAGTTATCGCGAATTCACTGTATTATTTTTCTGTATAAATTATTTCTTTTCCTCACAAGTTTTGAATTTCATTTGATAAATGTTTTTTACTTTTAAATAGCATTAAGGAGCTGCCCATAAATTATGTCACACATTATCCAATATTTCTGACTTTCTTTTCCTTTTTATTACATTTTACCATACTATATATTGTCACATGTCAAGTATGAACATATACTAACAGTCCAGGAACTAAGCACTACGTTTAAGATCATACTTGAAATTTTACTTTTAAACTTTGTCTTTAATAAGATTTGTGGCATAAGAATAATAATTATCATATGTGCACTTATTTTATTGAAAAATATTTAATTAACTGTTTTCAAAACAGTCACACTTTTTGAAATCCCTTCCTCCCCCAAGTGTGACATTATTTATGAATAATTTCTAATTTTAAATAGTTGTGATTCTTATTAATAGTTATTTTTCTCACTGCATCATTCTATTAATATGTAGATCATTTGCTACATAAACTAATTTGAGTTATTTTTTTAAAGACCACCATACAACTTAATGCCCTCCAAAACATTTTCTGAATGACTGCTACTCAAAGGATATTAAATTATTAATTATTTGGAAGAGTTTATTATTATTCTGAAAGAAACCATGTTTTCTGCTGCCTTGCCAAAAAAACATATATTGTGATATATTTTTTTTTCTTAATAATTTTCAGTTTTTAAATAAAAAGCTGTTTTTTTTTTTTTTTTTTTTTTTTTTTTTTTTTTTTTTTTTTTTTTTTTTTTTTNTTTTTTTTTTTTTTTTTTGTGAAAAAGCAAAGCAAGAACTTTTTGTTATAAAAAGTCAGTACTTGTCTGTACATTCATACTTGCATGGATTAATTTGTTTACTTAGTATTGATTTTAAAGGCTTGTTTAAACTTTTGGATCAAGTTCACATTTCTTATCAAATATGCATTGTGCATCATTGAAATTCATCAGTTGTTTGTTGTTGCTCATCCCCTTGGTCTAGAGCCCTAGACCAAAACCAGAAGATCATGTCGCATCAGCAAGTCATAGACAGTCTCTCCACCACTCATCAGTTGCCCCACAGAGGCACCAATGCAATCCAAAAGAAGCGATGGCCGAGCAATGACAATAGGCATAAGTCTTTTCTTTCATTCAGAAGGTCAAACACTTTATATGGCCTGTCCTAAGTCTTGACAAAGCTGTTTGAGCAAATCTAGGACAAGTGCACTGCAGGGATAATCCGGGGCATTTGACGTCATACCAATCCTGATCTGGTGGGTGCTTCCACGCTGAATTTACTCAATATTGAATAGGAATTCATCAGTTCCTAAGCATATAAGTTTTTTTTTATTATGCATACAATATACAATAATTTTCAGTATTTTTGAAGTTAATAACTATTTCAGGTGATGGGTTTACCATACAAAAAATTGAAAGCTTGTTTTAGTTAAGAATGACGAATTTGTTTCAACTAATTATGTTAGTGGCAGTGTTTTAATTACTAAAATAAAATCACATTTTCTTCTAGATTTTTCTTGTTGTATCATTATGTGTTTTATGCCTATAATCATCGTTTTAATGGATTGCATTGGCAACTTAATCTATTGACATCTTGGCTGTTTATATTGGTAAATATTCATTTAAAATTTTAAATACTTAGTCATATTTTGTCTTTGATTTCAGTAATAGTTTTATTTGAAGTTAAGGAATTAATTTTCTACGAATAATTTTTTTTATACAGTAAATGTTATATTAAATAGTAATAACCTAACTTTGTGATTGACATTTTAAGAAAATTGAACTGTTTCTTAATTGAAGGCAGATTATCTTCTTATGGAAACTACTCTTATTATTTTGATTATTTTAAATATCACAAAAAGAAAAAAATTAAAATAAAATCACTGTTTTTCAAACTCTTGAAAATGATATTTATAACTTAAATTTTTATTAATTAAATTGTGTATCATTAAAATAATAAAATTTGTGTGATATAAAGTATTGTATGCTACTTAAATTTTCGATAATTATACTATGCTTTTATATTATTGTTTTAATTACAAAGTTAAATTAATTTATTCCTGTTATTAAATTAATTTTCTTTAATGAATATATACTCTGCATGCAATATTAAAACAAGCATTTTAAAGTTTATATTTTTATACTTTATAACTGAAATATTTGTCTTTGTGTTCCATAACTATTCTTGATAATTTGGAACATACAAACATAACCATTACAATACAATATCCTTTACTCCTATTATATTCCACATACTGCAATACTTTATTTATGCACATACTCCTATATATATCCCATCGTGAGAGCACCGAGTATGGAGGTTAAAGCTTCACGCTTTCGTGACTAACTGCATGATTGTGGCTGTGTGGTCAGCACTGCTCACATATATCTTTACATATTTTTATTTATATAATTTTTTTTTTGAAATTTAAAAACTATAGTTCCATTTTTTTAAAATAAAAATTAATTCTGAAACTAGCCGTAGATATTATGTATTTTTAATTATGAGCTAATAAATTTTTTCCTGTTACTGTCGAAAATTCTCGACTTTTTTTCATCATTGTTGTTTTGCGTGTTACAACAACATTTTATTTAATTTTGCCCTTAATTTGCAATTTTTATAACATAAATCCTTCTTTTAAGACCACTTTTTAAAATTTTTTTAAATATTTAACTTTGTTTTATTTTGCAGCACTCTATGGTCTTTTTCTTCCACCACTATGAACTACCATATTACGTTCAAAGTTTTGTTCAGTTTCGGGAATCACATGTATTACGTCCTCCTCGTTCTCAACCTCAGGCTCAGTCTGCTAGCACCAGCACCAATCAGCCAACTGAACCTGTGGTACCCCAATCAGATGAACAGCTAATCGATCATGAAGTCTCAAGCCCTGAAGAGAATGCAGAACCTAATCCTGAGAACGTTATTGAAAGTCTTGTTGACGACAGTAATCAGGGCCAGTCTGAAAGCAATCCTGCCTCAGTAGACTCTTCTGATGACTCGTCGCAAGAAATCCCAGCAGATGATCAATGCTTAAAGTGTAACCGTGATGAGATGTATCTTAGTGATGCGGTGAGCGTCTTATCTGAAAGTGGCTCTAAAGAGACAACTGAAAACTGTCCAGGGGATAAAATTTGTGTAGAAAATAACAAATGTGAAGCCTCTATATCAGGTTCTTCACAAAATCGTGGCTCTGCCTCATGTTCACTTAACAATCCTAGTCATTGTGAATTACCAAATGAAAATCAAAAGAAGCAAAGCTACTTAGACTCTGAGGAAGAACTTAGTGAACCTCAGCATTTTAACACCGAATCAGATGGTCAAAGTGAAACTGAGAAATCATGCTTTAGGCCAAATATAGAACATAGCACAGCTCCAATTGCTGATAATGTTACACCAGAGGAAAAGCATATAGAATCAAGTGAACATGATGATTGTTAAAAAAGTTTGATGTTAATTAACTTTATTACATTTTGTTAAAGTTTAGAGACCACTAAGTGGAATCGAAAGCACTTATTATTTATTGGACTGAGTGTGAGAAGTTTTCCGATTTTGATTATTGCTTATTGATATTGGAATTTTTTCATTTACAGTTTAATTTTGCTGCTGTAAAGTTTTCCTTAATTTATATAGATTATTATTTCAAGACAGGTGACTTGTGCAAAACTATATTTAATTTCCTGGTGTATGAGCCCTTTGAATATCCATTCGGTGTTAATGTGGGCTCCATATGTTGTGATATCTGTTTGATGTTTGTGATTTTTAACTATGAGAGTTATGTGCTTTTTTATTCTAAAGAAGAAAAAAAACATCAATTTATAATGCTCTGGGTTTAATCATCGTTACATTGACAAAGCCAATGAAAAGTTTGATTTTATATTTCATTTTATATTATAAATTTTTTTAAAAAAAATATTATTTTAAAATGTGAAAAATTATTAGATTTTAAATAATATCAGTAAAAATATTTGTTTTTACTGTATTTATTTAAAATGTTTCATTTAATGTTTGCTATCAGTTTTATGTAAAAAGAGGTAAAAGGGAACTTTTACTCAAATCATTAAAAAAATATGTTGTATTTTAAATCAAAAATTTTTTTAAGTGATATTATTACTTGCATTGAAAATATAATAAAAAAAAATGTGCCAACTAAGTAATGAAACATAAATATAATAATTGAACAAAGTTGTTCTATTTAAAGTGTTGCTAGTGATAAAATGTTGCTCAAATTTTGTTTTATTATTTCTCCACGCTTTTATTATGATCTATTATTGTCTCAAATGTTTTCAAAATATTTTAGGTTCTGCAGGCTGCACTGAAAAATTGTTTTAAAATTTCAAATAATTTTCTTGAAATTTGATATTTTAAAATCATAACTTTTAATGATTTTATTACATGCTATATAGATTGTTTTTCCTTATAATTTTAGTTATTATCATGCATAACTAAAAAATTATAGTATTGTATCAAATTTATTTTGAGTTTCATTAGTGGTCAACACACATTTTAACTGTATTTACTGTTTTATTCTTATTAAATGCTTTATTGTTCTTATAGATTTTGTCTTTATTTTACTACTTTTTTGGAAATAATTCTCGTAATATTTAGTTTTTTGCATCTATATTTAGCTCTACTTTTAACTTTTTTGTATCTATATTTAACTCAGACCACTGATAATGGCTTTAGAGTTCCATAAATGGAACTTTACAAATCCATTATATATTTTAGAATTCCTATATTCAAATGTAGTATGAAGTATTATAGGAGTTTGTGTGATTGGCAGAATGCTTAAGTTCGCTGAAAAGAAACAAGACAAAAATTTCTCTGCAGAATTATCATAGGGTGCACTAGAAAGATATCTTTATTCGTTGGAAACTCTGAATAATAGGTATGTACTTTTTTCACCTTTTAAAATTAATCTTACCCATTAAAGTATTTATTATTTAAAAAATTAATGGTTGATAACTTTATATATTTATTAACCTTATATACTAATATTTTGTGATGTAAATAGCTTTTAAAAATTATAACAGTAATTGTGGCGCTTTTATAAAGTTATTTATGTTATTATATACCAAAAAATGGTTTATTTTCTAATAAAACATTAGTTGTTTTGCTAACAAGTTGTTTCCATAAAATATTTTGCAAATAACTATATTGTATTTAAAGAGCTGAATAAGTAACCTTAACTGGTAAAAAATTAAACTTTATTTTATTTTTTACCAGTCAATCTCGATGTTAAAATCATTTTGAAGATGACATAAATGAGGTTTGAGAAAAATTTCTCTCAGTATGGTAACTAATTTTGCTGTCTTTCGCAACTTTAATCTGAACGAATTTAAAACTCCTTGTTATAACTCGCTAGACATAGGAACTCAATATGAAGGAATGTCCACGAGAAATTATATTTTTGCTGTTCTGATATATCTTCCTGTTTAGCTGATAGGTAATATAAGATATCATTACCTACAAGAATAAAAATAAAGCACAACATTTGCCAACTAGTTTGTTGGTGATCAGTTAAGTCATAGTAAACCTGTAACTTTCAAAACAATTTATTAATTTGTTAAACATAAACAATTTAACCAATTGTATAATGAAAATAAAAAGCTACAATTTAAAGCACTTATGGGAAAATAAAAACTTTATCTGCTAGGATAAATACCAAAAGCTATTACTCTTTTTTTTCAGGAAGATTTTTCTTAATGGTAGAGAAATAATCAAATTAGTTTAACTTTTGTAGAAATTTCATTACTTTTGGGAACAACATTCCATAATTATGCAGCCTTGTATATACGTTTTAATGTTTGTATGTCATGGTCATTTAAAATTTCATTTATTAAACCAAGATTTAAATATTAAAGTTCAAATTATAATTCCCATTGAAAAAGACCTTTTGCCAAAAGTGTCAAACTTGGCAGCTATGTACTAATTATGGGACTTGAATTTATCCTGTGATGCTAAAAATAGTAGCCAGAGAAATCTCCATGTGATTAAATAGGGCACTTAGTGCATTGATGAAATTGAAAGAAAATGTTAACCTGCAAAAATGAAAATTAATGATTAATGAAAACTACAAACAATTTTATGAAAAATTAATTTTAATAGCTCTAATTGCATTTTTATTATTTTATGTAAGTAGTACAACATTAAAACCATTATAATTTACAAATAGCTAAATTGAATATCAGTCAGTATGATTCTCCTCTAGCGCAGAATGAACCATCATGGATATTTTTAAATTGTTAAAAATTTTTTTTTGTAAAGGAGTAGTTTTTTTTAAACATCTTCATAGTCTTCACATTGAGCACTGTAATAAATAGTCTTTGTCCAATTTTAAGTACCGTTAACTTTGGTGTTGTCTTCTGATATATTGATGATGCTTACACTTAATTGTGAGTTTTATGCTTTCCAACAATTTTATTACCTGAAAAGAGAATAAAATATTACTTAGAAAATACTACAAATTAAATTTTGCAATGTTTTATAAACAATAAAATTATATTTGATACATAGGGTTACCCAAAATTATGTTTCCAACTTAAATCAATTGGATTGCTCTGTCTTGCTGTTCAGAAAAAAAAAGATTCAAACTAAATGACTTTTGATCAAATGATTAGATATATTTCTATGTACAATATTAAACACTTAAGGAGTTATACTAATTGAACTTAAGATGTTAATTAATTAATGTAGATGATATATTTAACTAAAGTTTTCTTTTACAATGCATTCTGGTTTCTTAGGAAAAAAAGGGGGAGGGGAGAGAAGGCTTTTCAATCTAGAAAATATGGTCCCAGTAATTTAGCCAATAGAACTTGCTAAATTAGTTAAAATTATTATTTTTCTGCTTTGCTTTTTCTTTGTATACTCTGAATGATTTTAATTATTTTTTATAAAGCTGTAAAACTAATTTACCCGAATATTATATCATGCAAAATAAATTTTTACTTTCAAATAAAATATTTTATAATTTAATTTAAAAATTTTGTAGATTTTAGAATATTTTATATGATAATAATTTTAGATGTTAATATTAAAAATTGGGATGTGGTTTAATAGTTCTAGACTAAATAATAACTATTAGACTTCATATTTACAAATTTTTATTTTTTGGCAATTGATATGCATGCACCAATTTTGTTCAAATTTTGGGGATTAAAAGGCAGTTAAACATGATTAAAACACTCCACTTAAAATATTTTAATGCACTTTTCTAAAAATGAGGCTTTTGACTTGGCTGTTATCGCCACTTAACAATTCAATTTATTATTGAAGTATTTTTATTTTTCAACATTTTTTAAAATGCTGTCATTTATTTCAAAAATTACAAAGTGCTAACTGTATAAAAAGTGTCTTAATTTTTGATTAAAATAAATTCCAATGTAACTTACAGAATAAGATTTTAAACAATGTTAAAAAATTATTCATTTAAGAATTGTTTAAAAAAAATATTGGATTTAGAGTTCAAAACTTTCAGTTCTTTCTTCAATAGCTTTGTATTTAATGATGACTAGATTGTTTTTTCAGTGATTTAAAACTTTTCATGAAAAATCTTTTAAAACTTCGACTCTGGGACACTAGTGTTCCATATATTTTTTCTGACACTAATTACGAACAAAAATATATTTTGATAGTTTTTAATTATAAAAAACAGTTTAACAGCTACAAAAAATATATTTCAGTTTATCGTAATTATATTTGTACTAAAACATAAAATCCCCAAAAAGTTTTTAAAATTTTTTTTCATTCATATTTAAAAGATTATCAATAATTAATCTTATAAATTAAAGAAGTTTCAGTGATGAATAACTTTCTCTTAGATCTAAATAACTGCAAATTTCAAAATTGTTTGGAAGTGCGCTGTGTTTGGAATATTTTAATTTTTTGGATTAACGCAGAAAAATACACTGGGGTTTCATACTGTATTTCATAACCATAACTTATTTAAATGCCTATTTTAATAATTCATAGTTATTATTTTTCATTTATTTTGACCTAAGTTAATACAAAATAATTGAAAAAAAATATGGAAAAAGTGTTATAAAAATTTTACATCCAAAGGATAACTTAAAAATACACAATTGATGCAATAAATCAATCAATAAAAATCCTTTTATTTTTTAACTATTTTTTTCTCACCAAAGCATTTTTTTAAAAACAGATATTGCGTTTATGAGTGGTTTGTTCAAACATTTGCAACTGAAATGATGTGTATTTTGCAATAGGAGCATTCATAATGTCATTAGTTATTACGTCTAAAAATGTATACGAACTGCAAAAGATATGGATTAGAGGTTAACTCTTTTTTCTTCTTGTATTACCTTGTTTCAGATTTTCCAAATATGTTCAACAGATGAGAAGGTGTGGACTTGCTTTTCAAGGAATGGAAGCATTCCGAAAATTCTCTGAGATTGTGTGAGAGGAAAACTGCGTGTTCTCTTTTCTTGATCATGAATTCATTAGGTAATAGCCATTTATTTTCGAAACATTCTTCTGCTGTTGGTCTTTTCCTGAAATAAATTTATTATTTGTTTCTTAAGTAATAAGCATAAACATAGCAAGGAAAAAAAATTTAAATATCTTGAAATTTTAAATACAGAAATATGAATTGTTACAGCTTGAGATAAAATAAATTATAATTCGAGAACTATTGAAGAATTATTCTAGATAGGATTTTTACAAAATTTATTAAATGATATATAGACACAGTGCACGTGTACTACCTCCTCCCAAGACAGAGTGAAATGAGGGAGTAACTTTGAAATTTCAAATGAGTTGCAGGGTTATTCCAGACCTTTTGTAAAGTTAAAAATTACGTAAAATTGTAAAATATGATTTGATTGTTTAAAAAATCACAAAAACCAGTAGTCTGTTTAAATTTTTTTGAGAAATTGTAAAAGATCTATTTGTGATATCCTAAATATTTGAAAATGAAGTCCTGGTTTTGTAAAAACCAAATAAAACATGTCTTTTAAGGAGCGTTGCTTTTAAATTGTAAATTAAATCTCAAGAATTTTACTGTTTTTCATAAGAAAAATCTTGTGAAAGGTCCGCTTTCACGATAATTTTGTAAAGGGTCTATTTTAACTACAACAATTTCTAGAAAGTTAAATTTAATCAGCATTTGCAGAATTTTTCAAGGAAGCTATGGATACTAGTTAAGAAACTTGTAATTTAATATAATATTATGAAGAGCTTAGTGGATGAAGCAGGTAAGTGACATTTTCAGGGGTATTTATTAATCAGGGAAAATAACAACATAAAATGGTCGCGTTAATGTAAGTATGTTTAATGTAGCCAAATTGTTTTTGATTTCACTTTATGTTAAACATAATTTATCCACATTAGTTTTGAGTATTTTTGCCTTTTTCTTTTCTAATTACAGGGATGAGATTCTTCCGAGGATTCGCGGATTTCCACTTTTTTTCAGATTTTTCCATTTTTCCCGCTAATTTCCGCTGAAATTGTTTTTTGCACAAGTTAAAATATTTTATGAGGAATTTAATTTTCCGCGGAGCGAAATTATTGAAGTCCTTATTCCTCCCTCTGAAGTTTCTCTAAAAATCATTTCCTTGGGATAAAACTGGTTGACCTTCATACAGGGATGAGATTTTTTTAGCTTTTGTCTCTCGAATTTCAGCCTTTTTATCAAAAACTCCGATTCTCTAAAAGTTTCGTTTTTTTATTAATATCCCGCTTTTTTTTTCTTTTTTTAAAAATTCAGTCGTTGAAGAAAAATAATTATATTTATTTACGATTTTCAAAGATAAACAGAAAATTCAATCTACGCCCTAGCTGCTAACCCTTCCGCATTTTTACTTATTTTAGCTATTTTCTCCGATTTCACGCACAGAAAATAAGATTTTCCGTATTTTTTATCCGTCAGCGGGATAGCTCGTATTTTCGTAATTTAGACGTCGCTGCTTCTTGTATTCTGGAGTGAAAGCAAACAAAAAAAGCGAAAAAAATAGAGGTGAAATTGCGGTGAAAATATTTATTTGCTCATTCAATTAATCTTGTAAATTTTTATTTATTGTGTAAACAAAAAATAATTCAAACAAGCTTTTTAGAAATTCCAAGTCCAGACTCTGCAAATATCTCGNTTTTATTTTTATTTTTTATTTTTTTTTTTTTTTCTTTTTTCTTGGATTTCCTCTTTTTTACTTTCTGACTACTCTCATCCCTGTAATTAGGTTGTGGTAAATAGAAAAAAGGCAAGGAAGTAAATCTATAATTAAATAGTTTGGATACCACTTTTTTCCTTCTTACTCTGTTTATAGCTACTCTGAAAAAGTCACTTACCTGGTACATCCACTCAGCTCTTCATATCTAAGAACATTACATAAATTTTAAGGATATTTGTATAACTGGGAAATATAAACTGAAAACCTAGTATGGTGCAGTAGTACAGTAGACTGAAATAATTAAATAATAATTTCCGAACAAATTTTGTTGTAGTACAGTACGGAACCCGTTAACGGAACCCGTACGGAACCAAAAAACCGGAACGAATTTCAATACATTTTCCCGCCATTTTAAAAAAATTTTTTTTTTTTTCCTCATAGGATTTTAGGATTTTTCGTTCTTTTTTTAAAGATGTTTACCTTACCATCATTTTGAGAATAATCATTAGTGTATTACTTCATCGTTTTTTCTTCTTTTTAAGATTATTTTTTTTAGCTCGGTTTAACAATAAAAAAAACGGCTTTTTGTAGCGATTCAGTAAACCGGAAAAATCAGTTATCCGGAATAGCGATGGTCCCGATCGTTCCGGATAATCGGTTCCCTAGTGTATTTCTATTAGTCTTCAAAGCAGTAAAAAAGTTTTGTGTCTGACTTACACAAATGGAGTGTCAGATATGATTTTAACCTCTTCAGAACCATTATCACATATAAGTGATCACATGATTCTCCCTTCATGTTATCATATATGAAATGAACCTTTCATACTCTAATGGCCCAAGATCACATGGATGTGATCTCAATACTTAGGGGTTCAAAAACCTCCTATAAATTATCCATTAATAATCCTCCATTACATATGAATGCTTTTAATATTTATTCTTTGAATATTTATCAAAAATGAAAATAGAAAAGTATACACATTCGGAAAGGAAGGTCGCAAATTAATATTAAAGTGAGGAAAGAACAGAAATAAAACAAATCGCAGTACATGAAGGTAAATGTAATAAACAGCAAAGCTAGTTGGATTGCAGAAGGAAACATTGAGAATGTGAAGGCAAATGTTAAAAACACCTTCAAATTTCATTTCCCATTTAAACCTGTTTTGCTATTTATTGCATTCGCTTTCCTGTACTGTGAAATGTCAGATCTTGATGTTTTTGTTTTTATCCTCACTTAAATATGATTTTGCATACCAAATGTATATACTTTATTTTTTCATTTTTGATTAGGATTCTAATAATATGTATGAAGTGCGGTCTCAGCAGAACTGTCAAATAATATTCTTTTTAAGCTCTGATAAAAGATTTTAAATCTCAGATCACTCAGAGTTGATGTTGATGCCTTATTATTTTTTTTAGCTTTACTGCTTAACTTAACTTACTGAGGTGTCCTTTTGAAGAGTTGCATGAGGAAATGCGTTGCTTCTGGAGTAACTTCTTTATAAAGATGATCAAAGTGGTAACGAACAAACAAGATATTATCCTTGGTCTCTTGTTTGGATTCGCCAAGGAAGGGAGAAACACCACTTAATCTGCAAAACATAACAGAATTATGATGGAAATTAGTTGATAATGTTCTATTCTCTGGGATAAAATTTAGGTCGGTGAAAAAGTTTCTTCAGGCTACCATGTTTAATCGAGCTAAAATATCTATACAAACATAAAAGCACTGTTTAAATAAGAAGTGCTTTTGGGTCTGTTTAGTTTATAGGTCATAAGCCCGAAGCAAGTTTAGCTTTTGAAAAATCTATAAATATATATATTTCTCTTACACGGCGACAAAAAAAGCCTCATTACAACTCCCCGAATGGCAACGCTAGAAAATCGACCAATGATTGCCGCTAAAAATGTCACATGCCAAATCTAGCTGAGATGGCTCAACATATAGCGCTTTTAAAAACGGAAACTGAAATAACCAGAGAGAGCATAAGCTAGGCAGAAGTGAGTAGTCTTTGTCGATAGATCTCTATTTCAGTATTTTGTCGAAAGCGCTTTTTTTCACGAATTAATTACGAATTTATTTGGCGATTTTTGATATCTATCACGAATTTATTTGTTTTATTATTGTTATGAGTTATTCATTGAAAAACGAGTCTCAGTCGTGCTGTTACGCTTTTAAGATTTTATACTATAGCACATTTCTAATAGGTTTAACGAATTACATGTCATTTATTTGAATTCAAATTTATTTTAATGACTTAGTATTTACTAAAAAGATGTAATTTTTTTTTTAAAAAAAGTTGTTATATGGATTTGAATGATTGTTTTGAATTCTTAGAATTTTGTGCATTTGCAATGCACCCAAGTTAGTAGCGAGCGAAGGGAGCTTGGTTTGTGAAGCAAACCATATAAGATTGCATAGCAATTTTCGGGGGTTGGCGAGCGTTAGCGAGCAGGGGGCGCTGCCCACTAGTGAAATTAATTTTTTTCTTCTAAAATTTCTGTTAAAAACATATTTTGTAGAATGTATACAAATTCATGTTAGGCTCTTAATTAAATAAAATTTGTATTTGATCATTTTAATGAAACCAAATATCTTTTTCTCATACTGAGACGAACCTTCAGTTCGAAATTTGGCTTTCCATTTAACGTAATTTACATGTTCTGGTCAGAGCCTGGCTATAGTGAGCATGGGCCCTGGGTCTGGACTTGGTTAAGTCAAAGATGTCACATTTTTTTAAAAATAAATTCTCAAATCATCAGCAAAACCTGTATAAAATTTGAAAATCGTACCTTTTTCTATGCTAAAAAATATTCACAATGATGAATGTATGGAATATTATCAGTATTTTTGAAAATAGGTAAAAAAAAAAATCTAATTCTAATTATATTATCCATATAAATGTAGTATAAGCATAGAAACTGAGAGAATTTTGCTCACTAATAATAAATAAGTAATTTATAATAAATCAAACAATGTTTTACTAAATGTGGAAGTATGCATATCAATTAATAAATCAGTAAAGAATAAAAGAAAACACTGTTAAAAACAAATATTTAGTGCCTCGCCAGACATTGTGCCTGGGAGCGCAATGTATGAGATATATATATATACATAATTTCTAGATTTAGATCTTTTTAATGAATTTATAAAAATAGAAGTACGCATAAAAATTTAAGATGATGCAAACTTTTTTTTATTTCAATTATTGTTTGTAAAATTCAAGACTGATAAATTTTTTAATTAGAGAATTCTTAACTTAGTGGTACTGAAAAAATGAGAGTTTATGTATAAAAATGAGGTTTACTCACAAAATGTAAGTTAAAACTCCCACTCCCCAGATATCAGCTGGTGTGTGAACTTCTTCTCCTTTAATAACTTCAGGAGCTGTAACAAAATTTTGTTTAAATTATTACTTTAGATATTATTAGCATGTTATTTACAATTTTATTATATATTATTTTCATTGTTCTTTTTATTTGATTATATTTTGATCTTTGTAAAATTAATTATTTGAAAATATATTGATATGAAATTGAATTGCCCATCAAAGAATAGTTATTATTGAACCAGATACATCAATAACCATACTTTTTATAAGAGAACAAATAGGTCATCGACTTATTAAAACAGAGTCTAATTAATAGGAAATAATAGTGCAAACCCTTATTTTTAAAAATCAAAATTTATGGTAACAGCCTTAAAAGGGAATAACACAGTACAATTTTCAAAAAAATTATTGCATTTTTTGACAGTTTATAATTTTAGGATTATTGTATCAAAATATTGAATTGATTTTCGCAAAATTGTTGTAATTAATTAATAATGTATAGTAATAATTAACAACGTAAGTTATGATGACAGTTTTAAAGGGGAATAAGAAAGTACAATTTTCCAAAAAAAAAAAAAATGCTTTTCTTCAGTTCATTATTTTAAGATTATTGTATCAAAATATTGAATTGATTTTCGCAAAAGTGTTGTAATTAATTAATTAATATTGTATAGTATTAATTAATTAATGTAAATTATGGTAACAGCTTTAAAGAGAAACAACACAGTACAATTTCCAAAAAAATTGGGAAAAAAATTATTGCATTTTTCGACAGTTTATCATTTTAAGATTGTATCAAAATACTAAATTGATTTTCGTAAAAATGTATAAGTTACAGCATATGTCGAACAGGACACGCTGAGCAAGTGAACTTGTCCATTCAGTTTATTAATGGATTTGCTTACCCCTATCAAAACATACTATACTATTAGTAAAATACTATTATTTTAGCTATTTTATTGAAATAGTTTGTTTAAATTATGAAGGAAAAAGAATTAACGATACTTTCAATATAAATAGTTGAAATTGCTTCTTATTTAGCTGTAAAAATTTCGAATGAATTTTGCAAAAGGTTCTTGACAGTTATGGAACTAATAAAATAAACGTAGGCCCAGCAGCCAAAGAATATGCTCAAAATAAAGATAACCACAGAATTTTGTCTGAAACTTTAATAACACATGAGGAGTCACTTGAGGGTAAATCGACAAGGGCTAAATTAGCATTTGGGACTGCTGACAATGCTAGAGAATAAGCATCTTATGGACCTGGTATTGATGCATTATAGTTAGTTAAAAAAAATTTCATACATTTTTATGGATTATTGATCATAAAATTTTAAACTCAATTTACTCAAAACTATGCTTCTCTTGCTTGCTGTATCTGTAACTGGCACAATTTTCCACCAATTTAAATCAAATTTCAACACAAAATACATTTTTAAATATAGTTTTCAGTTCACATAGGGATATTTAATTGGGTTAACTAGTTTTGAGTTATTAACTTATTTTATGTCGTTTACTGAATTTTTTTCCCAAAGCACTGTCATTTTGTGTAAAAAAAATATTTTTTAAAAATCATATGTGCAACGAAAACTACATTCATGTTTAAAAAAATCAAAAAGGAATCATATTTAAATGTTTTTTTTCTTCAACTTATGAGTACAGCAGTTTTGGATAATATAAAAATAAATAAGGTATAAACACTATATTATATAAATTTGTGTATTTGTAACATGATAGAATGAAGATTAAAATATGTACAATAAAGTTAAAAAAAATGTATGAAGTTAATCCTAGTTGTTGCAAAATACATTAAAAAAATCCTTTATTACAGGCTTCTACTGTGTTGTTCCCCTTTATCAATGGTAAAAAAATTGATAAACTTGATTCTTGCAGTTACTTCAACTTATTTTATCAAGAGAAAACAGTTTCTAGTCTTAGGCGGTTTTAAAGTTATTGCTGTTCAAATTGGAAAGAGAAAAAAAAACTATTTAACTATTTAATAACTAAATACTCTAAAGAAAAACCTTAACTTTATTACCTACCAGATGAACCACTGAAAATATATTATGAAATTTCATGCAAAGTATCATAATATCCTGTACCTTTGGATTTAAAATTATGTTGTCCTAGACTGGACACTAAAATTTGTTCTTAATATGTTATGAACATGAGTCATGGGGCCGCCATAGCCTGGTTGGTAGGGCGTTGGGCCTATGTCCAAGTTGACATGAGCTCGATCTCCGCCGACCGAAGATTCCCTTTGTAAGTAAATGGTGACTGGTGCACGTTATATCTGTCGGTTCACAAAGTCCTCCAAGTTCCAATAACAAATCAATACTTCTGTTAGGAATTGGAGATTAATCGTTTTTCTGGTTCAGGTCAAAATAACGAGCTGTGGATGAATAAACGGGTTCGCCCCATTAAACGGGCTGTGGCGTATCTGTGTGTGTGGCTGAAGTCATATTCTTGATCATATATGGCGCCCTGTAAAACAAGAAACGCACCCTCTTCCTTAAATTCGTTTGGTTCCAACAAGCAGGCTTGCTGATATAGGCAGGTGACATTGGAAACAACAACAGCATTGTTAGAACTCTCATCAAAATCACGATCACGCGAATAGTGAATTCATAAGGATAAAAAGTTTTTTTTTTTATTATTTATTTATGGGAAGAGGATTACCTAAATATTCCAGGTCGCCATTGACTTGAACTTTAGCCCCTTCTTCTGGAACGTATTGAGCAGAGCCGAAATCGACAAGCTTGATGTTAGGGTGATGCCGATCTTCCATGACTACGTTGTCCGGTTGAAGCTCAAAATAGCAAATGCCTCTGAAGTGTAAATATTCCAAAGCATCTATCACCTAACCAAAATAAATAATAGTTATTAATTCATAACATACGACCAGGGCTCGAAGAACCGCCCGTCCTCGGCGGTCAAAAATTCCCCGCGGACACCGAATTTCTCGAATCCGACTTCCGCGCGGACGGTCATTTTCCCGGTAATGTTCGTGATACATTTTCAATTTTTGTTGTCTTACAAGAGTCTAGCACCTCACTTCTAAAATGACCCTCTAATCTAGAAATACAGCGTATCGTACTGCGTATGGTGGAATTTATGTTTTCTAGGTCTGGGAGTACTGTAGCGGTTGAAAGGGGCTTTTCAGCAATGAACTTACAAAACAACACATTACGTACTGGTCTTAAACAAGAAGCGTTAAACGCAATTATGAACATCTACCTAAATGCAAAACCCCTTCCAGATTTCTGTGCAGAAACCTCTGTAAATCATTGGCCTGATTGTGGAACTGGCAAACGTCATATTTGATTCATTTAAAAAAACGCAGTGCCCTCGGATAAACTGACCTTCCAGATAACTTGACCTTTGTCATTTAAATTATTTCATAAAATAAATACTAGGTTATTATTAGTAACCTAGTATTTCTCTTATTACTGTATAATGTAATCCTAGTATTTGTAATCCTAGTAACTACTAATTCATTGTGCAATTTATATAAATATTTGTAATAAATAGGAGAAAATTATGTTTTTATTTATTTAGAAGCTACGGGTTAGTTTCAAATGAGGACGGGTACATTGTTGGACAAGCCGTCCTCGGGGACGGGTAAAATTTC